GAATGGACCATCAGTCAGAAGGTAAATGTTTTCTTTATTCTTCTCAACTTGTAGAAGATAAATGGGCCAAGCTCGGGTCTCACTCCTGCCCTGGGGAGTATGTGACCTGAATGAGCACGTAAATAACAAGCTGGCAAGACAACCCGCAGCCGTTCAGGGAAATGTTCACTGCTGTGCTCAGAACAGATGCTTGGGCTCATTAACAAGATGCCGAGGACCAGCACAGTGGAGGGGAAGCCCAGGACCGAGCAAAGCCCTGTGCTGCTACAGCTGCAGGACACCCAGAACCAGGTCTTGGAGCGATCCCTCTCCAGGGTGAAGTCCAGCCGCGCTACTGCACTGGGGACACAGAGCTGGGAGAAGACCACCCACAGAAACTCCACTTGCTGCAGGACAGCAAAGGAGACACACTTCTGGCCTCTGAATATTCAAAATAATTCACAAAACCTGCCACAGGAGACCATTCTCTCTTACCTGCTGGGGAGGGAATCATGTCACAGGCCGATGCCAAATGTTTGTCTGCACTTGATAAGTGTGTGGAGAGAAAGTACCCGCGAGCTCACATACCAGCTCACCCCTCCTCTGGGCAACACTGCTAGCAAAGGCTCTGCCCAGCAGCTGGGGCAGCTCGAGACAAAATAAAAGCACCAGCTAATGGAGCAGCTGATGCTGCAGTGATCATCAGTGATTCGGAGTAAAACAGCAGGAGAGATGAACAGCGTTAAAAAGCACAAGAACAAGAGCTGTTGGCGAAAAGTGAACTAATGGCAGCTGGCAGTGTCTACAGCAAAGCAATCTCCGCACAGCTTCAGAAGTCCAAGGGCTCAGGACAACCTCGAAATGATGAACACTCCTCTGTGCAAATTACAGCGAGAGGGCAGGACGCTGCTGCAGGGACACCAGGGCTGTGCCACAAGCATGGACCCTCGCAAGGAGAACAGTGGAGCTGCTGCTCCAATGAAGCTGCTGCTGCTTTGCAGCACCAAGGCTGATCTTGAGAGGAACAGTAAAAGCCCACTTAAAAACACAGGCCAAAGTCAAGACTCCAGGAGTTTGGAAAACAGCCTCAGTTAATAGGTTTACCAGCACTATATGAAACTCAGTACTAGGTTAGACAGTTGATGCTCCCCGTTGTTGTTACGTTTGACCAGGAAGGGAAGATGTAAGGAATTAATTCTTCAATAGATTATGCCATTAGCTGGTGGAACTGGCTGCTGTGTTGCACAGAGGTTGACCTTCTGCAGTGCTGCTTTAATAGACATTAGAAGCAGCAACTCTAAATCAGGCTCCTTGGCTTTGACCAATTCCTTGACATATATTTGGATATTGCCAACAACCTGGAATGGAAACAATTTCTGTCTGCAAAAATCATAAGCTACCTCCAAGAAACCCATTGCTTCTCCCTTGAGAGGAGAGTGAAGGGGAAAATAAAACTGCAGAAATTTTAGTATGAATGTGAATTAAAACCAGCAGGAACCATGTAGCTGCATCGGCTAAATTTAGGATGCTCAAATTCAGCTCAGCGAGCTCTGTCTGTCAAGTGCTTGGGGAGAAGCTGGGATGCCGAGGTGAGGGGGCTGCGTACAGTCTGGTTCCAAGATCGGTGGGACAGACCTTCCTCATTCACTCACTCACTTTCCCTTCAGCTGAAGCAGGGAGCAAAAGAGCTCCAGGGACCACCATGACTTCTTTCAGGTCTTTAAACGCAGCCCCAGTGCTCCCAAGAGCCCTCCCCTGCCACTCTCCCACATGCTGCACACTCAGCCGCCTTCTCCTCCCTGGCAT